TCAGGGTCATGAGATCGAGGTGAGGTTGAGGCCCACGTGTCAGGCATCTGCTTCTCTCCTTCTCCTACCTTGCCCCCCCCACCCCTCCCTCTCTTTCTCTCTACGTAAATAAATAAAATATTTTAAGAAAATACTGATTAACTGGGGCATCTGGCTGGCTCAGCAGGTGGAGCATGCAACTCTTTGATCTCGGGGTCATGAATTTGAGACCCACATTGGGCACAGAGATTACTTATAAAAATACTGATTAACTATTTAGGCAAAGCACTTTTTAAAGCAGAATTTCACTTAATGGACTGAAAGGTAATCTGTGCTGGTAAGAAACAACCAGCTACATTTTCTCAGTGGTTTATTTATCTTAAACAGAATGAGTTAAGTGGAGGTGACAGTGCTGTGGCAGCCTTGAGTTTAAAAGAGTCTTTTCTGGAGCTGAGTGAGTCCAGAGAATGGCTGTCAGTCCACATCTCTTTCAGATTATGAGACCAGAGGATGTAGAAGAATTCTTTTAAAAACTGAATTGGTGTACTATATGGGACCATGAGAAGAGCACAATTATAAAATCAGTTGGCTCAGTCAGTTAAGCATCTGCCTTTGGCTCAGGTCATGATCTCAGTGTCCTGGGATTGAGCCACATGTCAGGCCCTCTGCTCAGGAGGGATTCTGCTTCTCCCTCTTCCTCTGCCCCCCCCCCCCCCCACTGCTTTTGCTTGCTCGCTCTCTCTCTCATAAAATAAAATCTTTTGGAAAAAACTAACGAAAATATTCTACTGAAACTAAATTAAATGTTGGGTGAAATGAATGATTTTATCATTTGACCCTTCAATGACTTTGCATGAGTTCCTTAAGGTCCTAAAAGTCTTCTTGTCCATTTCAGAGCTACTTTATCCACACTGGAGCACTCATCCTTCTCTCCAGCCTGTTTCCAAGAATGAGGTATCTCCTGTGTTTGTCACATCCCTTCTGTGTCCCCAGTCTGGCCCCTTCCCCCTTGCCTCCTATAGGTCTTCACATCTCAGTGATCTCATTTCGCTCTCTACCCCTCTGTACTCCTTTCTGTACAAACCTCTATCCTGGAAAACAAAAGTGTCACCCTGTCCTCCATTCAATCTGTCTCTCACATATTTCTTTCTTTCTTTTTTTTTTTTAAAGATTTTATTTGTTCATGAGAGACAGCGAGAGAGAGAGGGGCAGGCTCCCCATGGAATAGGGAGCCCAATGCGGGACTCGATCCCACCACCCTGGGACCATGATCCAAGGTGAAGGCAGACACTTAACAACCGAGCCACCCAGACGCCCCTAAACAAGGAGGAATTTTGATACTAACTAGGGCTTAAGAGAAGCAAGCTGGCTCAATTTTGGAAAACTGGAAAGTTGGCTTCAGATTCAGACTGATCCAGAAGGCAGGGCTGGAGTTTTAACTGGGAGATGTTGTATGAAGAATCAGGACAGTGCCAAAGAGGCAAAAACCCACAACCAGAAAAGGCATATGAAAGGGGAAGAGAGGGCTAGGAAGCAGTCTTTGTGATGATTTTTCTCTCTGAGACACAGCCACTTCTAATAATCTAGATGTGCTTGCACAGTGGTTTCCAAAACAAAAGTTCTGATAAATTTCATTTAAAAACCTTTCTTATTGGTTTTTAAATTGAGATATAATTCAGGTACCATAAAAGTCACCATTTAAAGATGTACAATTTAAAGGTCCTTAGTATATTCACAAGGTTGTCATCATCCCCAAAAGAAACCCAATATTTTTTTTTTTAAGATTTTATTTATTTATTTGTCAGAGAGAGAGGGAAAGAGAGCGAGCACAGGCAGACAGAGAGGCAGGCAGAGGCAGAGAGAGAAGCAGGCTCCCCGCCGAGCAAGGAGCCCGATGTGGGACTCGATCCCAGGACGCTGGGATCATGACCTGAGCCGAAGGCAGCTGCTTAACCAACTGAGCCACCCAGGCGTCCCAAGAAACCCAATATTATTGGCAGTCACTCACCATTGTCCCCTTCCCCTCAGACCCTGGCAACCATTAATCTACTTTCTGTCTATAAGGACTTGCCCATTCTGGACATTTTACATAAATGGAATCATACAAAATGTGGCTTTTTGTGTCTGACTTCTTTCATTTAGCATGTTTTCATGACTTCATCCATGTTTTAGCATGAATCAGTACTGCAGTCCTTTTTATGGATGAATAATATTCTACTATGTTGTTTATTCATTCATTGGTTGGTGGATATTTGGATTTTTTCCACTGTGGGGCTATTATGAATAAACATTTGAGTACAGGTTTTGCGTGGAAATATTTTAAATTCTCTTAGGTACAAACCTAGGAATGGAATCGCTAGATCACATGGTAACTCTTGTTGCACATTTTTAGGAACTGCTAAACTGGTTTACGCAGCATCTGCGTTATTTTTACATTCCAACTGGCAATGCACGAGGGTTCCAATTTCTCCACATCAGTAATGCTTATTATTGTTGGTCTCTTTTTATTATAGCCATCCTAGTGGATATGAAGTGGTTTCTCATTGTGGTTTGATTTGCATTTCCCTGGAGATTAACGATATTGAACATCTTCTCATGTGCTTATTGGCCCATTGTTTAACTTATTTTCAGAAACACATTTTCAGATCCTTTGCCCACTTTTTAATTGGATTATCTGTATTTTTATTGTTGAGTTACAAGTCCTTTATTTATTATGGATGCCAATACTTACCAAATATATAACTTGACTTGCAATATTTTCTCCAATTCTTCAGATTTTTTCGCTTTTTTTTTTTTTTAAGATTTTATTTATTTATTTGACAGACAGAGATCACAAGTAGGCAGAGAGGCAGGCAGAGAGAGAGGAAGGGAAGCAGGCTCCCTGCTGAGCAGAGAGCCCGATGCGGGGCTCAATTCCAGGACCCTGGGATCATGACCTGAGCTGAAGGCAGAGGCTTTAACCCACTGAGCCACCCAGATGCCCCTCTTTTCGCTTTATTGATGATGTCCTTTGACACAAAGAAGTTTTTAATTTTGATGAAGTCCAGTTTGTTTTTTTTCTGTTTGCTCTTGCTTTAGATGTCATCCCTACGAAACTGTTGCCTAATGCAATGTCACAAAGATTTATGTTTTATGTTTTTTTCTAGGAGTTTTATAGGTTTAGCTCTTAAGTTTAGGTGACTGATTCATGCTAAGCTATTTTTGTGTATGGTGCAGGGAGAGGTCCAAATTCATTCTTTTCTGTGTGGTTATCTGGTTATACCAGCACCATTTATTGAAAAACTGTTCTTTCCCTCACTGAATTATCTTGGCATCTTTGCCAAAAATCAGTATACCAGAAACGTATGGGTTTACTTCTGGACTCTTAATTTTATTCCACTGATCCATGTATCTATCCTTATGCCAGTACTACACAATCTTCATTACCGTAGCTCTGTAGTAAGTTTTGAAATCGGAAGTGAGCCCTCCAATCTCTTTTTCTTTCTTTATAACATATTTTTGACAATTCGGGGTACCTTGAATTTCATATCAATTTCAGGTTCAGTTTGTCAATTTCTATAAAAAAGAATTGGAATTTTATTTAAAAATAAAATTAAAAATAAATAAATAAAGTTCAGGGCACCTGCGTGGTTCAGTGGGTTAAATGTCTGCCTTCGGCTCAGGTCATGATCTCACAGTCTGGGAATCGAGCTTCCTGCTTACTGGGAGTCTGCTTCTCGCTCTCCCTCTGCCTCTCTCCCTGGCTTATGCTTTCTCTCTCAAATAAATAAGTAAATCTTAATAAATAAATAAATAAATAAATGAAGGTCTAGAATAGACTAATCTACAGTGATAAAAATCAGATTAGTGGTTGATTCTGGGAAGGATAATTGCCCGGAAGAAAATGTGTTTTATGTATCAACAGGGTTGTATGTGTATTGGTCAAAACCGTACATTTAAGGACTATGCATCTCAGCATATAAATAAACTTCATCAGCGATTTTTTTTTTCAATGTGGGACTTGAATTCTCAATTCTGAGATCAAGACCGGAGCTGAAATCAAGGGTTGGACGCTTAACTGAGAACCCAGACGCCCCACTTCATCAGAAAATTCTTCAAAAAATCGAATCCTTATACAAATTTATGTTACAGCATTTCAGTTCATCATACACAACATACACCTATTTCTTTTCACCTGGCTAATTCTAAATGATAATTATTTAAGATGCCACTCAGTTACCACCTCTTCCAAGAAGTCTGTCCTCACCCTTCAGATTGAATTAGGTGCTCCTGTATGATGCTGCATATTCTATGTTATACTGCTTAATGAACTAAACTGTAATTGTTTTTTCCAGCTACTGTTTGATAGGCAAGGGCTATCTGCTCTCAATCCTCAATCTCTAGCAAAATGCCTTACATTTAAGTCATTTAAAAATAATAACAAATCTCACTTGTCACTCACCTAATCACAGGAAGTAAGCATTATTGTTCCCATTTTACAGAGAGAAAACTGAGGCTCATAGGTTAAGTATTTTTCTAAGACTCTAAGTCAATATTTTCTACTACGCTTCTTTTAATTCAGAGGTAGAGGTAATAACCAAACTCAGTTTACATGCTAAGTAAGCACTCAGCCTGTTTTGTGGGTCATTCCAATGAGCCATTTCAGGCTTCTGTCTGAACACCGTAACAGCAGAGAAGGCCAATTCTCTTAAGTCCTAGAGTTTCTCCTATTATTAGTCCTTTTTTTTTTTTTTAAAGATTTATTTATTTGAGAGAGAGAGAGCATGAGCAGGGGGAAGGGCAGAGGGAGAAGCAGATTCCCTGCTGAGCAAAGAGTACGTGGGGCTTGATCTCAGGACCCCAGGATCATGAACTGAGTTGAAGGGGGACACTTAAACAACTGTCACCCAGGTGCCCCATTATTAGCGTTTTTAAATAGAGTTTTTCTTTATTGATAAATTTATATATGCTTATTATAGTAAAGACAGTAAGAAAAATTAGTCACATCCCCACCACTCAGAAATAACCAGTCAATATGTTAATGCATTTCCCTTTAGTACTTTTTATTTGCAGATTAAAAAACTAGATCTTTCTAAACAAAGATCCTTCATAATAAAATTGACAGTTTATATAACCAAACAACACACTCCATTATCTGTAAAAGCCAGATGACCCAGGCTGCAGGAAGCTTTGAGAGCGAAGAGCATATTCTTTGCTCCTGGGTCAGCAGCAGCCCTGAGGGGACTCGGGAGGTTTTCAACAGAGATAGGCAGTGGCAGCTGAGGAGGCAGCAGGAGGAGAGTTAGTATTTTCCTGGCCCTAGACCCTGAGAGGTTAGGCTTTGAAACTTCTTATTTCCTAAATTTCTACTTCTGGTCACGAGATCTCTGCTGCCGTATGTTGTTACACAAGCTGCTTTCTTCAGTTTAGGTCACTTGCTCATTCAGACTCTGAAAGAATCAGTGTCTGCTGATGTGACGTTCTGCCCTCTGTGATTTCTACTAGTTATACATTTAAGAGGGACTTCAGTGGTTTGTTAAAATAAGGGTATTGCTGTCTGAACTCACCTCCTGGGTCTATTTCAAGATTCACCATCTTCCCTGATAATCCTTGCTCTGCAATTCAAGGACGAAGGAGGAACCTGAAATGACCCTCACAACCTTAATGTTAACCTTCTCCTGAAAACCTTGTACACAGTGGGGGACTACGCTGCCTGGCACCTGGTGTGCAAGCAGTAAGAGCTCTGAAACATCAAGTGGATTAACCTCTCAAATCCATACGCTTGAAAAATCAACAGGTTAGGGGCAATTCCTTTTAAAGTTAAAACCCAATGATAGGTGTCACATCAAATGTAAAGACCTAGACTAGCACAGAATACAAAATCACGATTTTAATTTATTTTCTCACTTTATGATTGTTATTTTTTCTGTATTCTTTCCTCCTGATTCATGCTTTTTCATCTATTTTATTTCACTTGTTTATTCATATGCATCACGCATTACCTTATAAAAGTTAACTTTTGCTCACACGTGACACTGTCCAGGTATGTTAACAGAGACCTCAAATCTTTAAATTCAGGAACATCACCATAGCATACATGGTACCCGCTCCTCCAACCACTCCCTCCCCACAAGAAAAGAAACAACACAGTCTAGTTTTTTGTGCCTTTTTTTCTTTTGAGAGAAAGAGTGAGCACTTGCAGGCAATGGGAGGGGTAGTTGGTGGGGAGGAGTGGAGGAAGATGGAGAGAGAGAATCTTAAGCAAGTTCCACATTCAGCATGGAGGCCAACATGGGATCATGACGTCAGCCAAAATCTAGAGTCAGACACTTAACCAACTGAACCACCAAGGTGCCCCCTCGTGAACTATGGTTTCGTGACAGTGGAAATGTACCTCAAGTCATGGTAAGAGGCAGAAAAGCTGCTAAGTTGAGTTCAAGGGCAGTGCAGCCGGCCAGGCTTATTTATCATTGCACCATTATTTTAGCAAAATGCTACAGATTTGAGGGATAATTTGTGGCAAGTCATTCACCAAGGGCTTGCTATATACATGGCCCCTCCCAGACCATCTTGGCCTACTTTCCAGCCCTATCATGCTGTCATACGCCACAGATTCTTGCAATTCCTCAAACACTGAGTGGTCCTTCCTATCTCTGTGCAACAAAATGGAATTACCTTCACTTGTACTTTTATCTTTAAACTCCTCATCCTCAAGTCCCAGCTCAAATGTCACATTCTCCTAGTTCTCTAGGTTCTCATGCAGAGCAATCCCTTGGCACTTGGTGCGGCCTTCAATACAGCATTTACCAAATATTATAATTCTTGTACCTCTTCCCCAAAGACAATGCGGTCTCTGAGTTCAGTGAACCAAGACCAGTTTGGAGGCTCTTAGAGTGGTTTAATAGACAGAGGACCTGAGTGGGCAACAGTGGAGGAGTGAGGGGTCAGATTCATGAGACAGTAGTTAAGAAGTGATGGGACTTGGTTGACCGGAGGCAGTAGAATATAGTGGTTAAAGGGTGTAGGCTTTGCTGCCCAACAGCACAGATTCTACATCAAGCTCTGCCACTGAGTAGGTATGGACCTTGGGCAAGTTACTTTGTCCTGATTTTTTTTTTAATCTGTAAAACAGGAATCATGACAGCATTTATTTCCTAGGGTTGCTATGAAGATTGATACACATAAAATGCTTAGAACAGTGAGTACCTAGCATATAGTAAGCCCTCCATAAATGTTAGTTGCTGTTTTTAATTATTATTATTACTGAATATGAAGAGTGAGGGAGAAGAAGGAAATAATAAATCCCAGGTTTCTGACTTGAGCAACTAAACAGAGGTGGTATTTTTCCATAGAATGGACACTGAAGAAATAGCAGAATTGAGTGAGAAGATGGCAAATTCAGATTTTTATTAAGACTATTTCTCAGAGTGGGGAGCCTGGGTGGCTCAGTGGGTTAAGCCGCTGCCTTCGGCTCAGGTCATGATCTCAGGGTCCTGGGATCGAGTCCCACATCAGGCTCTCTGCTCAGCAGGGAGCCTGCTTCCCTCTCTCTCTCTGCCTGCCTCTCTGTCTACTTGTGATCTCTGTCTGTCAAATGAATAAATAAAATATTAAAAAAAAAACTTATAAAAAAAAAAAAGACTATTTCTCAGAGTAGTTTTAAGTTCACAGCAAAATTGAGGGGATGATACACAGATCTCCCATATACTCCTGCCCCCAGTCATGCACAGCCTCCCTCGTTATCAACATTCCCCACCAGAGCTGTACATTTGTTGCAACCAATGAACCTACCTTGAGACACATCATTATCACCCAAAGTCCACGGTTTACAAGTTCAATTTTTGATAAGCTGAATGAGAAGTGTCTGTGGAACTGCCAAGTACAGAAGTCTAGCAGGCTGCTAGATGTAAAAGTCTGTAGTTCACAAGAGAGTTCTGGGATGGAGATACAAATCTGGGAGTCCCTGCACAGCATTATTGAAATTATGGGCATGGACAAGCTTGCCAAGTCAAGCGTATAAGGAGAAGCACAATGACTCAACACTATTCAAGGCTCTCTCACTTCTCTTTAGCTAATTGGTTATTGCTAAGTTTACCCCAAAACTTAGTGACTTAAAATAACAAATATTATCTCACAGTTTCTGTGGATCACAAATCTGGGCCATTTAGCTGGTACATCTGTCTCAAAATCTCTCCCAAACCCGTAGTGAGTCAAGGTGGCAGCCTGGGCTGTAGGCATTTCATTGCATATAATGCTACAAGGCTCATTAAAAAAGAAAAAGAAAAATCCAGGAGATCCTACTTGTGGCCACACTCTGTAACTTCCAAGGCAAGGTTAGAAGAGCAGCTTCTATCAGTCTCTCTTTTGGGATGCTCACCTTTAAAACCCAGCTGCCAGGGCGCCTGGGTGGCTGTTATTAAGCGTCTTCTTTCGGCTCAGGTCATGATCCCAGGGTAATGTGGGATGTGGGACTGAGCCCCACATCAGGTTCCCTGATCAGTAGGAAACCTGATTCTCCCCTCTCCCACTCCCCCTGTGTTCCCTCTCTTGCTCTCTGTCAAATCAAGTCTTAAAAAAAAAAACACACACATACATACATGCACACAAACAAACAAAAAACACAGCTACTAAGCTGTGTGGAAGCTCAGGCTACAAAGAGAGGCCATGGAAAGGTATTCCAGCTAATAGCTCCCACTGAGGTCCTAGTTGTCAGCCACAGCGTGTCAGATGTCAGTAAGGAAGACTGGGAATCTCAGGGTATATCTAGTCCTGATACAAAGTTTTCACCAATCTTCTTCTTTCAACTCTAATCACTCATCTTCAAGTCTTAAAAGGACTATTAAAAGTATGATCCTAGTAAGAACGGACGTACAGGAAGTTTAATTCTTACTATCACCAAAAGGCAGGAACATCCTTATACCTCTCTGCTGACTAGTTGTAAAGGTGGTGGTTTATAGTGAAAACACTGAACATGACATAAAAATGAAGGAATTTAATTTCTAAAGTACTAGTAATGTAGCCTGCAGGAAATCACCTACTTTCTCTGATCTTCAGTTTTCTTATTTGTACAGTGGGCATAATAACAGCCCCCATGCCTACCTTACAGAATTATTACAAAGATCAAAGGAGACAATGGATGAGAAAAACATTCTTTTGAAAAGTAAAACACTATACATAAGTGAGACCTGTTAGGCCTAGTGCTTCTGTTACTCATTACAATATATACAGGAGGCAAAGGAACAAATCCTGCCCTGCTTTAAATTCTTACTGATATGCCTGTTTGCTTTGACATACATTTGCTTAAATGCCTCCTCTGAGCCTGTCACTCTAACAGGTGAAGAGCTCTTTGTCATAGCTATCTCTTTTCTTCAGTTATAAACTTGAATAAAATGTTTCACCATTAGACTAGCACTTTTTACAAAGACACTATGAAAACTATGTCAAGTTGATATGAAATTATCATACAGGTCTTAGCCAATTTTCTCTCTGCATGATTTAGGGGATTCCATTTCTGAACAAAGCATTGGCTGCTTTTCTAAATAGCCAACCACATGTAGCTGTCCCATGGAACCCTGAAACTCTCCATTTCCCATATTAGATTGTTAGCTCCTCTCAAAGCTTACTCCGCCTCCTGAATTCTCCATCTTGGAGAAATGAGCCAGCATCCACGCAATCACTTTGCCTGGGAATCATCCTTGACTTTTCTCTCTTCATCTATCCTCATGTGCATTTTCACCACCTTCTTTCTCTCAGTCTCCCTCCAGATTTTGAGGATTTTACCTTTGTAATAGCTCCAGACTCTTGTTTCCATTCTCACTGCCACTGTCTCACCTATACTGTGGCAACAACTTTCTAATACTCTCCCAGCTCAGCGTGCCCTTCCGCCAGTATCGCTACCAACAAACGAAGCCTAGTTAAAAAAACAAAAAACAAAACAAAACCCCTAAGACTCCTCTTTTCAGTAGATAGAAATGCAGCTATTCCACATGTCCAGTCATCAGCCTCAACAATGCTGGTATAGGCATGAGTATACCGATTTCACAGGCTAGAAAATTTGGCCTAGAAACTGACTGACTTGAATTCCACTAGGTCTCTCCCGGCTAAAACCTCGCTCTTCAGTTTAATGCCTCAGGCTTTCCATCTGTAAAACTGGATCAATAATAGCTTTTTCATATAATTGGCATAAAGAGGAAATGAGGGCCTGGAACAGTGCCTGACACAGAACACTCGGTTACCATTACCAATTATTTCCTGATGAAAGTTTTCATTGCTCATATTACTTCGTTCTTCAGTGCCCAACGAAGAAATAACGCAAGGGTTCCGAATTCGACGGACTAATTCTTTTCCTTTCAGGGCGCCATGTCCTCCCTGACAGCCAACTCTTTACCCAGAGTTCATTACCTCTTTGGGCTTGTTTGCCCGCCTAAGACGAGGGGATACGCGGCTCCCGCACTGGGGTAGCGTCACAACCTAGACTGATGGCGGAAGCACGGCCGTTAAGCTGAGATGTGGACGGGCCAGGCTGAGGCCCGCGGAGGCGAGAAGAGCCGTGAACCCTTATTTAGACCTCCGATCTCTAGATGAGCGCGGACTTTGATTCCTGTCCAAGGCTCAGGCCTCTGTTTCCTCTTTTGTAGAAAAAAGAGTTTATCATTCCTTGTGCTTCCGCTCTCAGAGGGTTGCTGCGACGACGCAGGACTAGGACGTCGGAGAGAAAGTTCAGCTTTTCAAGCCCGGAGCCTCAGAAACGGCGACGGGGCAGAGGCCCGGAGAAGGGCGTCACGTGACCCACGCGGCCGGGTCCTCTCAAGCCTCCGGGAGCCCGCCCCCGAACGACTCATCTCTATGGTGGATGGGGCTCAAATTCCGGGGCGGACTAAGTTGCTCTTCCGGGGTGATTGCCACTGTTTCCGGGGCGGGGCGGGGCGGGGAGAGGCTTGCCCCTACATCCGACGTGCTTCAGCTCCCTCCCGGTTCGTGTCTCCTTCCACGCTCCCTGCTGCAATGAGCTTCCTCAGAAGTTTCCCGCCGCCTGGCTCGGCTGAAGGGCTTCGGCAGCAGCAGCCAGAGACCGAGGCTGTGCTGAACGGCAAGGGCCTCGGCACCGGCACACTGTACATCGCTGAGAGGTAGGCAGGGTCCCTGTTCCCTTGTGCCGGTTTCCTGCGCGCCGCCTTCCTTCTGCTGGCGCGGGCTGAGTGGCGGGGCGGGGGCGAGACCGCGACCTCGCGGGCTGCTGAGAGGTGGAGCGCGCGAGCTCCGGGGCGCCTCAGGGGGGCCTCTGCCGGGGCGAAGACTCGATTGTTCCGGTGTCCCTTTCTCCCGAGTCTTCCTCTTTCTCACACGGAGTTCTCTCATTGATTATGCTTTTACGTGTCTGTTTTCCCGACGTCTGCTGAGTGCGTCGCTCTTTTTTCAGGGTTTCGTTTTAAGGTTTTGAGTTTCCAGCCTCTGAGTTGAGAATCATCCTTGTGCCTGTCTTTCCTGTAAAAAGGTGCGGAAGGTGTTGCCCTGGGCAGAATATCTAAGTTTAGAGCAGATTGTGGAGGATGTTAAAAGTTTGGTTAAGAAGTACGGCTTTTCTTCTGTAGGTGTGGATGGGGAGAGGAACATCCTCAACCCTACGCAAGCTGAGATCAGATCCAAGAGAGACTGAGACTCCCATTTCTCGTTTCCCATTTCTGACTCCCATTTCCATTCCTAGGAGGATTTGCCCTTTTATTTGGCCTCCTGGAGCACTGTACTTTTGCCGTAAGACAGATGTGTCTCCAATATCGTAGTTGTAGGACTGAGGTCCCTATTTCCTTGTTACGTGGTTTCAGTCATCCTCAAGCCAGCAATGACACATTGAATCCTTCGCATCCTTGAAATTTGTCTGACTTCTACTGATGCATCACTTTTGTCTACAGCCAGGGAGATTTCTCTCCTTTTTAAGAACTCATGTGATTCCGGGGCGCCTGGGTGGCTCAGTGGGTTAAACCTCTGCCTTCGGCTCAGGTCATGGTCTCAGGGTCCTGGAAACGAGCCCCGCATCGGGCTCTCTGCTCAGTGGGGAGCCTGCTTTCCCCCAGTCTCTCTGCCTGCTTGTGATCTAGGTCAAATAAATAAATAAAATCTTAAAAAAAAAAAAAAACTCATGTGATTCCGTTGGACCCACACAGAATATCCAGGATGATCTCTCCATTCTGTTGTTAACTGATTAGCAACCTTAATTGCATATACAGGTTTTCTCTTGCCATGTGACAATATATTCATAGGCTTGACACTGGGGGATTGAAAGTCCTGGGGGAAACAAATTTTTGCCTACCACAGAGGACACAAGAAAATGTAAAGAACCGTTGGTTTGAGGGAAGTCTAAAACATTGAGGACAGCTTAGGAATTTTGACCAATCACTGAGAGAGGAAATACAGATGGGAGGAAAAGCAAGTTGGGGGTGAGGTGCAAATAATGAGTTTGGTCTGGACATGTGTGATTAGTTGGACACAAGAGTGTGTGTGTTGGGAGAGTATTAACCATAGAGATTAGGAAATCATTAGTGTAAAGGTTAGCGTATACTCATGGGGGATAGGTTAGATACCCCAGAAGAGAAGAGGGCCAAGGCATATCTGTAGTAAGATAGGTATGGAAGAAGAGACTTGAGAACAGACAATAGGGAGAAGCAGTCAAAATCTGAAAAGCATCTGTTGGGTAATGACAAGGAGATCTTTAATGATCTTGGGAGAGCAATTCTAAACGGCGGAGAGTGCAGCACAGATAGATTGTTAGTCCCTACACCATCCCTTTTTCTCCATGGTTTCTCTGTATATTGACTCTTTCTATAATATAACTTTATATATATATAATCTATAATATAACTTTCTATAATATAACTATTGTTTGGGGGAAGGAAGACAAGGCCCTATGCTTGTCTTTTCATTTTGAAAAGCTTCAAACCTAAAGAAAAATCTCAAGTGTTGTTTATTAATACACATAGACAAACATTCATCAGTTGTTAACATTTTACCACACTTATCTTTTTTCTGAGCTGCTTGAGAGTTGCAGGCATGTTGTCCATTCGTCTGTAAATACTTCAGCAAAAATCTCCTAAGAACAAGGACATTGTCCTGTATAATCACAATATAGTTATCACACTGAAGAAATAGAAACTTCTTTTAAGGTCATACGTTTAAAAAATTTTCATATCAGCTTTTCACTGAGAAATCTCTTATCTTCTTTAAAAAAATATTTTTGTAAAATATACATACAAAAAGGAATATACATTATATATGGGTGATTTAAAGAATTATAATTAAACCAACTCCTGTATGTCCACTATCTAGGTTAAGAATAGAATATTCTGGGGGCGCCTGGGTGGCTCAGTGGGTTGAGCCTTTGCATTTGGCTCAGGTCATGATCTCAGGGTCCTGGGATCGAGCCCCGCATCGGGCTCTCAGCTTAGCAGGGAGCCTGCTTCCCCTTCTCTCTCTCTGCCTGCCTCT